AAAAAAAAAAAAAAAATGACCTGAAACAGGAACACCACCACCACCAGCTGCCGTCCAATCAATTCTACTCATAGCACCCCCACACACGTCAGAGTAGAAGTGTACTCCATAGGGTTTCAATGGCTGATTTTTGGGGAGTAGGTCACCGGGCCTTTCTTCTGAGGCTCTGGGTTCATGAGAACCTGCAATCTCTGTTAGCAGCTGAGTGTTTTAACTGTTTGTGTCATCCAGGGACTCTGAAACAGGAACAATCGTAGTTTATGTGAGGAAGAAAAAATATCACTATAGTAAGAACACAGAAGTGGTGAGGAACATTCTAGTATAAGATAAGGTAAGAGGAGGCTGGGAGTCTTTAAGTCTAGCTCCCCTTAAATCTCTCTTGTGTGGTAAATGGTGGGATTTAGAAAATATGACCTTATCATTGCCTTGCTTAAGACACTTTGGGGGCTCAAACCACATCTTGGATGAAACTAAATTCTTGGCAGAGGTTTCAAAGGTCCTCCATAATCTGACCTACCTAATTTTCCTGGATAGCCCCATCTCCTCACCTTGCAGTGTATCCGTCATCAACAACAAAGGTGCTGTGCTACTTTTTTTCCACACAGGCATGCTCTTTGATCTTTCTATGCTTTTACTCAAGTTCCTTCCTTCACCTAGAATGCACATTCTTTAAATTGTTAACCTTGCTTCTTCCTCAGGAATTAACTCACACATCAGCTCAGAATCTGTACCTCAGGCCTCTAAAACCAGCAAACTGTCCCTCTTGTGGTTTCCCCAAACATACTGTGCTTAACACTAACATCATTCTATTGAAACTACTTATTTATAGCTCCTTCGTTGTACTGTAAACTCTTCAAAAGAAGGGACGGTATTTTATTTATTACTGTGCTACCTGGAACATGATAGATACGTAATTAGTCATGGATTGCTGTCTGCCACGCCTTAGTTAGCATACCTTTGCTACTTTGAAATTTCTGGGATGCTCCCTATCTCCCTACTTACTCTGGTAGAAGTATGTGAAACTAATCTAAGAAAAACATCATCAAAGAGTCCTCAAAGATGAACAAATATAAGACTTCAAATTTTTGTTGTTGTTGTTTGCTTATCAGCTGTTTGTATTACCTGTCTTAAACCGTGTTTTCTTTAGTGGAGAAAATTAGAGATGAAGTGAAATAAAATGCATGTCCTTTGCCCTGATAGACTTCCATTGAGTAGGAGTGGAAGATGGGGTCTGAGAATATGCTCCAGGGAGGAGAAAGAAGACAAGGAAATCAAAGAGGGGGAAAGCGAGTCCCATGTCCTAGAATCTAAGTCATACCCTTCATCTGGAGCACAACACACCTGCGTGGAAGTAATGGTAGATAAGCCTGGAAATGCAAGTTAAGGCTGAATTTGAATGGCAGGCAGATATGCCTATATTTAATTTTATATATATATATAAATATATACACACACACACACACACACGCACATATATATATATATGTATATATATGTAAATTTACACGCCAGAGGAGGCTACTAAAAATTTGGGGTGGGGGGCAGGTACAATTATTTATCAACGCCATGAAGCAGAGATCCATAACTGATTTTTAACTGGGTGTCTCTCTTGCCTAGTTTTCAAAAAGACATCACCCCCAAAGAAGCAAATGAAAATACTATTTTTACGATGAGCCTGTGCACTTAGGTAAGGGGTTTCATAGCTTTTAAATGAGGTTCTCCTTCAAGCCCTTCTCTCATTCTTGGCACTACTGCATATTCTAGAAGTGTCTCAAATATGCAGAATATCTGAATTATATTTAGGATTTATCATATTTTATAGATTTTTTTTTTTTTTTTGAATCAACGAAACAGTGGCTTCAGTCTGTGTTTTCCATCAAGTGGCAAACATAGTATGTGACTGTAACAGGCAAATGTTTCCTCTTTTCCCCCAAATCTCAACTTCCATATTGGAGAAAAGGTCCAAGTGTTAAGAAGGGTTCAACCAACCAAGGGTTAATGGTATAGTCACACCATTTTGTAAGCAGATGAGGCAGGAAGAGAAAAACAGGGAAGAAAAGCAAGGGCTAAGCAGCCAAATGTTCACACATGAAAATAAACAACTACGAATAATTGAATATTTCTAGTTTTGTCAACCATCCAGCAGCAGAAGTAACAGATGCCACAGCATGCCCGTCTACCTCCAGCTCAACTGAACCAGACAAACGAGAGGGGGCCTATGACAGTCTTTCTCCAGAGACAGGTCTCTGCCAGCGTTGTTGGGGGAATGTGGGTTGGCTTTATGTATTTATTTTTACCTTTATAAAATCACTTTTGAAAATGGGTCTCCAATATTTCCAGCCCTAGGCAGTTGCACAGGCAGCCAACATCTATGTGACATAGTGTGGGATTATTAAGGAAAAAACAACAGTTCAAGATGACAGGGTGGGTGGTTTGGCTCCTGAAGCAAATCCTGTCCTATTTTTTGTCCACTAACGTAGCAACGTGCCATGACATATATATATATACATACATAAATTGCTGTCAAGTTCATCTAGATTCATGGTGACCCCATGTGTGTCAGAATAGAGCTGCACTCCATAGGGTTTTCAATGGCTGATTTTTCAGGAACAGACCCATAGGCCTTATACGTGTGTGTGTGTGTGTGTGTGTGTGCGTGTGTGCGTGTGTGTGTGTGTGTGTGTGTGTGTGTGTGTATGTATATATACATAAATGTATAACTTGACCATCAGGAGGAATGCAACTTACTCGTATATGAAATAAAAAAGCAATTACTGCTTTCCTAAAGGAAATACTCAAATACACATGGATTCTTCTTTCTATGATCATTTTCAAAATCTCATTTAATATGACAGATCAATATGGCTTAGTAGCAAGAGCCCTTAGATAGGAGTAAAAGGATATAAGATCTGTCTCTGTGTCTGCCATCAGCTGGGTGACCTTTGGTTAAGCCCCTGAACCTTACTCAGCATCACTTACCCAGCTATTAAATGAGGAAGCTGGATAGGTGGATTAAATCAACATTGCCCAACTAGTGGTTCATAAAGATATTCTATGACCTTGCTTCTCAAACTATGTCCCAGAGACTGGCGGTATCAGCATCACTAGGGAGCTTGTAAGAAATAAACTGAAATCATGGACCAGACTTACTGAATCATGTTAATGGAATTATTTACATTTTAACAGGACCCCCAGTTCATTTGTATGCATGTCAAATTTGAGAAACACTGTTCCTAATTTGATCACACTCTGATTTGATCAAAAAATTACCTGGATAATTTGTTAAAAACACAGTTTCCCTAGCCCGTGCCCCAAAGTCTGATCCAATAGGTCTGGGGTGAGAGGCAGGGATCTGTATATTTAACAATTATTATTGTGGTGGTTGTTGTTACTTGGTGTCGTTGGGTCGGTTTCAATTCATAGTGACCCTATGTACAACAGAAAGAAACACTGCCCGGTCCTGCACCATCCTCACAATCATTGCTATTTTTGAGCCCATTGTTACAGCCACTGTGTCAATCCATCTCATTGAAGGTCTTCCTCTCTTTTGCTGACCCTCTGCTTTACCAAGCATGATGTCCTTCTCCAGGGACTAGTCCCTCCTGATAATATGTCCAAAGTACATGAGACAAAGTCACCTCATCCTTGCTTCTAAAGCATTCTGGCTGTAGTTCTTCCAAGACAGATTTGTTCATTCTTCTGGCATTCCATGGTATATTCAATATTCTTAGCCAATACCATAATTCAAATGCATCAATTACTATGGTGGGTGAGTCTCTTTCAATGAAAATGTGAGTTACATAAAAAAAATACTTGTGTTTACCTTTAAAATGGAATGACCTCTAAGTGGCTGTCAGCCCAGTGGGCTTCTTGAAGCTCCTTGTAGAGATTAGCTAAGCCTGACCATGTCAAGACACTCCAATCAATACATCCCTAGGCTGAATGTCGCAGCTGCCATGGGTTTTGACCACTGCAGTTTTTAAATTGTTAAAGCCTTAATTGATTACTGGTTAAATGGAGGAAACATAAGGAGCTCTGATGTTGAACTACAGCCTAATGAATAATATAAAAAATTATAATAATTTTGCAAAGTCCTCTCAAGATAAACTGTCATCAGATTCATAAGCTACATTCATCTATCAAAATCCGGACTTTGCACATTAAGATGTCTGCAGTACTTCAAAAACCAATCTTAAAAAGAAGAAACATAGTGACAATTAAATCCAATTTGGCTTTTCATTTATTGGGAATAAAGCCTATCCTCATGCTAAATGTGTTATTTGAGAGAAGTGCTTGCAAATAGCAGCCAGAAAAGTCTCTTATCCAACGTTTAGAAACAAAACATGAAAATTATATTTAAAAGTAAGTGATTTTTTTCCCTACAAGCAAATCAAAAGAATCCCAGTTAAGATCCTAAAGGCAGCCTCCTCCCCCCCACTTTTGATGCCATTACACATAAATTTCAATTTACATTTTAATGTACACTGGTCCCCAAGTCAAATGCAATATTTAGTGACAAATCATGCCTAGACTTGCATAAATAATTCTAAATAAAGAAACTGTCTTCTCACTACATGGAAAGAAATTAAAAATACGTTTAAATTATATTAGAGATCATATTAAGTACATTTCATAACATAGGTTTTAATGGTATTCTGGTGCCTTTTTTTTTTAGTTAAAAAGCACAACTTTATCATATACACTCATGTATATCACATACGAGAACAATAATTAATTTTTTTTTTAATCCCTTAAGAGAGTTCTTAAGTTACTACCATGAAAGTGTTTCACGACTCTAAAATCACTGCAAATGATAGACTATAACCGTGTTTTTCAATGTTTGTGTTAGGTGTTGTTGTTAGGCGCCGACTCATAGTGACCCTATGTACAACAGAAGAAACACTGCCTGGTCCTGCGTCATCCTCATGATAGTTGTTATGCTTGAGCCCATTATTGCATCCACTGTGTCAACTCATCTCACTGAGGGTCTTCCTCTTTTTTGCTGACCCTCTGCTTCACCAAGCATGATGTCCTTCTCCAGGGACTAGTCTCTCCTGATAATATGTCCAAAGTACATGAGACAAAGTCACCTTGTCCTTGCTTCTCAAGCATTCTGGCTGTACCTCTTCCAAGACAGATTTGTTCATTCTTCTGGCATTCCATGGTATATTCAATATACCATGTTCAAAGCATGTAAGACGAAGTCTCGCCATCCTCGCTTCTAAGGAACACTCTGGCTGTCCTTCTTCCAAGACAGATTTGTTCATTCTTTTGGCAGTCCATATTCAATATTCAGTCAATATTCTTTGCCAACACCATAATTCAACAGCATCAATTCTTCGGTCATCCTTACTCATTGCCCAGCTTTTACATGAATTTTTCAAATGTTTAGCATCCTTTAATTCTATGGTGCTGGGAGAGTTAGACACATAGGACTGACCTGGAATGCTTTTTTTAAGTACATATATCCATAATCTGCAGAGGATTACTCAGGCATTAAAATTGTCATTCATTTCAATTAGTTTCAGTAAGTATCTATTAACAACTTACAGGTGAAAGATGCTGGTGCTATGGAGTATCAACTAAGTCATTAAAATAATAGCTAATGGTTGATGAGTTCTAACTCTATACCAAGCCCAGTTTTATACACTTAATATTTATTAATACATCTAGCACTCACAATAACTCTATGCAGTAGGTACCATTGCTATCCTTAGTCTGGTTAAAAAGTCAAGCCCGTTGCTGTCAAGTTGATTCCAACTCATAGAGACCCTAGAGGACAGAGTAGAACCGTACCATACGGTTTCCAAGGAGCAGCTGGGGAATTCAAACTGCCAACATTTTGTTAGCAGCCAAACGCTTAACCACTGTACCACCAGGGCCCCGTTACTCTGGTTAGAGCATGATAATATCTACTTCAGCTTCACTGGGGACAAATGTCCTGGCTGGCCTGACCTAGGCCATGCAGGAGCACAGATCTGGACTTGTTCAGCAAACAAGCAACAACAAAAAACAGTTGCCATCAAGTTCATTCCAACTCATGGCAACCGCATGTGTGTTCGAGTACAGCTGTGCTCCATAAGGTTTTCAGTGGCTGGTTTTCTGATGTAGATTTCCAGGTCTTTCATCCGAGGCACCTCTGGGTGGACTTGAACCTTCAACTTCTCTGTTAGCAGCTCAGCCCATTAAATGTCTTTGCCACCCAGGAACTCCTAAGACTTGTTAAGGGAAAGTGAATTGAAACACATTCCCTATCTTGGCTCACTTGTTACTTTAAAGCCGTAAAAGATTTGCTGGCCCCAATTAACTAACTAAATAACTATAGGAAAAACGTTTTGCATAGTTCTCATGTCGAGAGCATAGCTTACGAGGTGACTCTTCTCCCTGGCCTATGAGAGCCAGGGCAATATCCGGAGAGGGCCTCCCAAATTGCTACTATAGTCAAGGTGAAATGCATATTTTAAGAGGAAGATTTCATTTCCCAGGAAACTCAAATGTCTCCGCAAATAGCAGTTCACTCCTATTCTTAATCCCTAAACCATCAACATCTGCTATGAAGAATTTCTTGAGTCCTCAAATAAATCCCCCCGGTCCTGTATTCTTTATAGCACTCTCAAAAGGCAGCATTTGAATAAAACAACAATAACCATCTCAGCTCTCCATCTCCTGATTTCTTTCTGGAGGGACTTTTACACTCCTGGGCATAAAAAGGGTTCAATGGGGGTGGGATGATGGGGTGGGTGGGATGAAGAACTTCTAAAGGAGAAGAAAATAAGTTTATGTATTTACGAATCTTTTCTATATTATAAAAGATACTGATGCTGAACTATCGTAAAGAAATCTTGGACTCTCCTGAAAAACAATCCTCCCCCCACCCAAGTCTCTATCTATCCCGTCTTTCCTTCTCTTTCTATCTTCTCTGTCTCTCTCTCTTTAGTTCTGCTTGGGTCTAACAAATGCAGTTTTAAAACGCATTCCCATATTTTAAGATTCAGAGGGAAGGGATTTAAGAGTAGTCTATAAAAATATCTTAACGTCTTTAATGTCTTATTTTTGCAGATTTGCTGGAAAGTACAGTAAACAGTCATTGCTGATCTTTTCCCATCAACACCCCTTGACCTTTGTCATCGATGGTGTACAGCGGGATCCATTTTCGTGGGTTTCTTTTTCTCAGCAACAGTTTTTCCTAGCATTGTTGAGACACCTGCACTCTGACA